AATCACGAGGTTCATTTATGAGCATCATCGTTGCACAAAATAATATCGGACACGGCGACACCTGAACGACGAATTTAACGATCTGGCTTAGTCGAATAAAAACCTCATCGATTTGCAGTTAATGTCAAAATTAAAATCCAACGAATTTCGCACCACCACTCCCAGTTTAAACATCGTTTGATAAATATGGCGTAAGATGGCGAATATTCAGCATTGCGGCGCTAAGCAACAAAACCTACACTACAACAACACGTAGGAGCGCTACGTGGGCATAGAAATATTTAAGACCGTGAACTTTGTATTGACGTACATTAGCTTATTCTCTTAATATTTTTTTTTGGTTCGTGCTCTGACAAGCGAAGATTACGCTGGTTCAGTTTGAGCAATAAACAAAAAACCACAAACCATTTAAATGGTAATGGATACCTAATCACATCGTTTAGATTTCGCGATTTCGAAAGAGATTTACGTAGAGAACATGTCTGATCGCAACGTTAAAGAAGCATTCTCTGAGTGATTCCGATCAACTGTGTAGTTCGTCAAGCGAATGTGCTTCTGCCTTTGCTATGCAGTATTGTTCTCGATTTTCTCTGAAACAGCTCTGACCTTAGCAAAGACAAAAGTCTTGCTCTAAACGGAAGGAGCAGTTCGAGATATCCAGCTAGATATCCTGCTGACCTGGAGTATGCAGATGATATTGTCCTGATGAGTGGTGCGGGGAGCAGCCTTCGTCACCTGACGGTATTCATATGCAACAAAGCTACGAGAGCCGGTCTCTTCCTAAATGACCAGAAGTCAAAAGTTATGAAGAACCTGCCCCATCAGACAGGAATGATCTTCCGTTAGAACAAAGAAGCCAGAGAGGAAATCGATCACTTAAAGTATCTCTGCTCACTCATTTCCAACGATTTCTCCATTCAATCAAAGCAAAATATGAGGATTACCCTCACCTTCAGCGCCTTTGGTAACTTGTCAAATATCTGGACAGAGACGAGAGTAGCCCTTTTCATAAAAATACCCTGTACCTTGCTTCGGTCAGGTCAGTGTCGTTGCACAGAAACAGCTGTTCTAACGAAGGTTCATATGCAACAAAACTGGCTAATCGCCGTCAAACAGAATATCAACTGTATGAGCCTCTGCAGCAGCTGGACACGCTGGATGCGGAAGCGAACTACTG